GTTTTTTTGGCGACTACTGTATATATACTTATTTATGATCTTGCTCAATCATCAATAGCATCATATGAAATATTTCTCAACAAGTAATTTCATCATTGACGACAGATGAAACTTTGTAAAATCAACAGCGACGCACACTTCATCATTCATTTTGTTCTACATTTGTGCTTTAAATAGTAATAGTTGTTTTTCTGTTTTCCTATATAATGACTCATTCTTATCAGCGACAGAGCAATGAAAAGCCCTAAAGATATACGTAGATTACTGCATGACTTATTGGAGTATTGTTTCTCATAGTACTACATTAATCATTAAAATATCTAATTGCAACAATAATGGACAAACAAGACATGATAGAATCGATTAAATGAACACGTTCTTGTAATGTAGAATGTCTTGGTGTTGTAAAAGCATAGAACATATGATTTATTCAGACAGTACATCTCAAGTGTGGAAAAAAATGAAATGCTTATTTTGATGACAGAATTTGTTACATTAATTAAATTCAACACAATAATATAGATTATTGATTCATTTGTAACATTTCAATTTTTTTTCTTTATTCTTCAATCCTATTTCAATTTCTTTGTCTCGATAGTATCGTCGTCAATAACGGCATGATTGGAAAAAGAATAAATTTTCAAATAATATCTTTATGTTTTAAAAAAAGAATTGAAACCTTTCACTATTCAAATTTGAATAAAAATTCATTATGATTTCATCTTATTTCTTTTGAAAAACAATTTTCAACACAAGGATTTTTATCTATTCATTAAAAATGTTCTCCGAAACAGCACCATCACATTTATCTGAAGCAATAATGACAGTTAGAAAAATGGAAAAAAACTTTGTAAAAACTCAAATGTTAACTATGGAACATGATCGAAATAAAATACGTTCGAATGTTAATCGTCATATGGAAACATTTCTACATATGACTCAAAAACGACATGAAACATGGTATCGATATGATAAATATTTTCGTGAAGCTTTAAAAAAAGAAAAAGATCGACATGAAAAACGTAAAGAACGAACTGGATCAGCAACTCATCCTAGTACTAATAGTTATCCATCACTTATTACATTAAATTCTCTTTCAGAACCAATAACGAAAACTGAACAACGTACTTATCAAGTTTTACAAGCTTCAAAAAAATTACTTAGTGCATCAGCATCACGATCACAATCTGCTCGTAGTCAAAGTCGTCCATCAACATCACAAAGTACATTTAAAACTTTTTCAACAACTTCAACAACAACAAAAAGTTCATGTACATTTAATAGTGCAAGTCTTATTGTACCAATGACACAATCGATTGATTATAAAGAATATAATCGTTTAATGAATGAATCATTAAAAGATGAAAACTATGGTAATTTTATTGATCATTTTATTAAATTTCGTCCTGAATTTCGTGAAAATTTTGCTCAATTTCACCAAGCAAATCAACGACGAAATGCTGTAGAAAAATTACGAGAATTTAATCAAACATATGCAAAACAAAAAGATCAACGTTATTATGATTTAATTAATAGTCTTACTACTTTTCGTTTAGAACAAAAACGAAAACAATATAAAATTTAATTACTTTTTTTTTTGTATTGACATTTTATATAGATTTATACATTAGTAAATGAAAATTTATTAAATGAATAAGTAGTATATGAACACTTTCAAAAATGAGAAACATTCTTTTATATACACAAATAGATCAGCTAACCGGAAAAAAGCAGTCCAAAAGAAAAGAAAAAAAAAAAGATTAAAGAATAAGATTTAAAAACAAGTTTAGATAAGTTATTGTGGAGATTTTATATTGTCTTCTATCTGAAGATGAGAGAACTGAATTTATATTTACGATTTGAGATTTGCTAACATTCGTTCGATTTCAGCATCTTCATCATTCGTTTGTCGTCGATTTGATACCATACCTGATGTAGCGGCAGGGACACGTGGTGCAATAGCCATCTAAATAAAGATACGTTTTAGTAAAAACACAAATATATAAAAAAAATTCAAAACAAACTTTTTCATTCATTGAAATACCAATTTCATCAAGTACTTGATTAACAATAGCATCTTCTTCTTCCGAATCACCTTCTTCTCCAAATGCGGCATCTAATGTTTCTCCCACTTGAATAAACAATATTAAATTCGAATAATTGAAATATTTATTTAATACATACTCATTTCTTCTTTTATACCCAATTTTGTATGCTCTTGAGCAAATTGTTGAGTAACTTTTGCCATCTGAGCGGGATTCATAACTTTATTCATTTTAGCCATTGTTTTAGCTGTTGACTAAGATAGAGAAAATATTAATTGAGATAGTAAAAAATAAAATAAATGTTTTGTTAAACTAACTTGCATTGCATTTGCCATTTTTAAGTTCGATGCCATCATTGTATTTTGTGTTGCTAAACCTTGAATTTGTCCTGATGCTTGAAAGGATTGAGCCTTTTGATTTCGAATTTTAACAAGTTGTTTTGCTAAAATTTCTACTGCCTAATAAAACATATGAATTATAACATAAAAATAATATGTATTTCTTTTTTTACTTTTTTATTTCCACCCGATGCATTTTTTCGAATTTCATTAACCTGAAATAAAAGTTTTTACTTTTAGAAAATTTCAATATTATAATATTACTATTCGTTGTTCTTCAGCTTCGAGTTTATGTCGATCACGTACTAATTCACGATCAGTTTTTCTTAACTCACGACTATGAGCTTTCGCTTGCTCTTCAAAATAAAAACGAATTTATCTTTAATAAAATATAAAATTAAGTTTTCTTTTACCAGGTATCGATGATTTCTTGCTAAACATTAGTTATCTGAAAAATAAAATACATATTCAATTTTTATTTATTAAAATTTTGTTGTACATATATTGTTATCTGAAGGAAAGAAAAACTTAAAAACTCCTTCAACACAATGTCCAGATGTATATTCATGTTTAGGATGACCAGCTGATACTTCTTCACAGATTGATCCTTGTGAAAAATCATATGCACGATCAATTGATTCTCCCATTGGTTTATCACTAGCAACGAAATGTATTGCATTTGTTTTTAAAAAATTTTTGATTTCATTCGGCTCGAATGGTAATATAGAATGAACTGAATCAGTAAAAGCGATTTTGGAAAGAGTTGAGAGGATTTTATCCTGACGTTTACGTAATAAATACATTAAACCATCACCACCAGCTGAATGTGCAACAATATAAAAATTTTTTGCTGGTGATTTTGAAATAATATTATCGTAGACATATAGAACATGTTCACGACTTGTCGATAAATTTGGAATTTTTTCTTTTTTTGAACAAGGCAATGGACGTGGAGATAAATAATAATCTATCAGCATTCCATCAGGATGATTTTCTGTTTGATTATCTATATTTTCATTTGTAGTAGATATTTGCTGATCTCTAACATCGGCTTCTTTATTATCTTTAACTTCATGAGATTTTTGTTCATTAGTAACATTCATTTCTGTATTGGTGGGTAATGTATCATCAATATCAACAGATTTTTCAACTATATAACTTGTTTGATTTGGATTGAGAATTATCACAGATAAATTATGTTCTTTTGCTTTAGCCATATAAGGAAACATAGCTACAGAAAATATGAACAGACATGTCTAGAAATATTTATATATAGTAGAGATTTTTATAACATACTTCCTATATCGAGAGATTCATTAATACAACATGAACGTGCCCATTGTCCTGGACGTACAACACCAGAACCTTGAATTAATATTAAACATCCATTTTCATTCGTTTCAAAATCATTTGAAGTAAATATGTTAACTTGATCATGATGATCATCTGTATTATCTTCCTTAATAGGTAACCATAATTCTCTATAATTCCATTCATTATTTTTCATTAATGATTGAATATATGTATCTATACAACTACCAAGCAAATTATAATGACGTTGTGATAGAAAAATAAATTTTTCATTCGTAATACAATGACGTAAATGTTGAGAATCTTTATATGCATAATTAAATTCTTCAATAAATTTTGGATGTTTTGTTTTTGGAATTGTTAGAAGTATATTATCCAATTGAGGCTGAATATCTTGTGGAAGTTGATTACGTTCAATTGGTTGATGACAACTTGGACACATTAAAGTTCCAGAAAATAATGAACCTATTTGACCTTTTTCAATTGCTGATAAAATTATTTGTGACCAACAGCTTTCACATAAACTACATTTTTTACTCTGACAGCATTGATATAATTTCTTAGATTCCTCGCAACAAATTTCACATTGATCTGTTTTTTCAGATGATGTATTCATCTAGAATTAAGGGAAATTTTGACAAAAA